TATAGCCGGGCACTTCTGTTCCAAATGAAAGTTCCTAAACGGTTTTGGGCTGATGCGGTCTCCATATGCTTGCTTTTTGATTAATTGCATGCCGTCTACTGTGCTTGGTGATAATATGCCTTTCATTATTCTTTTTCCAAATAAGTCATTATTTCTTGTGGAACCTAAGGTGTTTGGAAGCACATGTTATGTTCAAGATGTTCGACCATATGTTACCAAGTTGGATCCCAAGGCATTGAAGTGTATTTTTCTTGGTTATTCTCGTCTTCAGAAGGGGTCTCTGTGTTATTCTACTGAACTTGGCAAATATCTGGTGTTAATTGATGTGGTGTTTTCAGGACTATACCATTCTTCTATGCACCTCCCATTTCTACAAGTGGGGGGGGGGGGGGGGAGGAAGATGAATGGCTAGTATATCAGGTTTCCCGCACTTTGACAGAATAATCAGATGATATTCTTCCATCTCCTAGCTCTTCTATCGAGCACCAATCGACTATTGTGCCTTCCACACCTGCTCCAACTCTGTTAGCAAGACCACCAATTGTTCAAGTTTACTCACGCAGGCGAGAGACAAATGATACATCTCCTGCACCAGTTCCTTCGTCATCTGTTCCTCTTCCGCCTGATCCTCCAGAAGACCTTGACCTTCCCATTGCTTTACGCAAAGGTACACGTACTTGCAAATCCACATATTCTATTGCTAATTTTGTCTTCTACGACCACTTATCCCCTGTGTCTAGATCTTTGATTGCGTCTCTAGACACCATTCTATACCCAAAACGGTGAAAGAGGCTTTGAATCATCCTGGATGGTATGAAGAACTGCTTGAGGAAATACATGCCTTAGAGGAAAACCATACTTGGGATTTAGTGAATTTACCTAGTGGAAAGAAAGCAGTGGGATGCAAATGGGTCTTCACGATCAAAGTTAATCCAGATGGCTCTGTGGCAAGACTTAAGGCCAGACTTGTGGCCAAAGGGTATGCTCAGACTTATAGAGTGGATTATTCAGACACATTCTCTCCGGTTGCCAAATTTACTTCTGTCCGCTTGTTCATTTCTCTAGCAGCTTTTGAGAATTGGCCTTTGCATCAATTGGATATTAAGAATGCATTTCTTCATAGTGATCTTCATGAAGAGGTGTATATGGAGCAACCACCTGGTTTTGTTGCTCAGAGGGAGTATGGGAAGGTCTATCATTTAAAGAAGTCCTTATATCGCTTGAAGCAGCGTCCTCAGGCTTGGTTTGGTAAATTTAGTGAGGTAGTTCAAGAATTTGGGCTGAAAAAGAGCAAAAGTGATCATTTAGTCTTCTACAGGCAATCAACAGCTGGATCTTTTCTCCTTGTTGTATATGTTGATAAAATTGTGATTACAGGAAGTGATTATGCAGTAATCTCTTCTCTCAAGTCTTTCTTGCATACTAAGTTTCATACAAAAGACTTGGGACAACTGAAATATTTCTTGGGAGTAGAAGTAACTAGAAGCAAGAAGGGGATTTTTCTATCTCAGCGAAAGTATATTCTTGACTTACTGGCAGAAACTGGTAAGTTGGCTGCCAAGCCTTGCAGTACTCCAATGGTTCCTAATTTGCATCTTATGAAAGATAATGGCGAGCCATTTAATGATCCAGATAGATACATGAGGTTAGTTGGGAGATTAAACTATCTCACTGCGGCTCGTCCAGATATTGCTTTTGCAATAAGTATGGTTAGCCAGTTCATGTCCGCCCCCACAATCAAACATTGGGAGGCTTTGGAGCAGATCCTATGTTACTTAAAAGAAGCTCCTGGATTTGGCATATTATATAGCAATCACGAACATTCTCGCATTGACTGTTTTGCAGATGCAGATTCGGTTGGATCCAAGATTGACTGAAGATCTACTATTAGTTACTGTGTATTTGTTGGTGGAAACTTGATATCATAGAGAAGTAAGAAACAGAATGTTGTATCTCGATCCAGTGCATAATCCGAGTATAGAGCTATGACACAATTAACATGTGAGATAATGTGGATATATAATCTTTTAACTAAAATAGGGTTGAAGCATCCTACTCCATCAAAACTCTGGTGAGATAATCAAGATGCGCTCCATATTGCCTCAAATCCAATGTATCATGAAAGAACCAAGCGTATTGAAGTTGACTGTCATTTTATTCGTGGGAAAATTCAAGAGAACTTGATTTCCGGTGGCTACGTGAAGACATGAGAGCAACTAGCTGATTTTGTTCACTAAACCATTGAATGACACTCGAGTTGGTTACCTTTGTAACAAGCTGGGCATGATCAACATATATGCTCCAGCTTGAGGGGGAGTGTTATAGCATGAATGTAGACACTTATTATAGAATTAGTTGCTAGACATGTGCGTTGCACGTGCAACCCATACCAATCATTACATATACTTGTAGTAAAAAATAACAATAATTTATTAATTGCATATATTACCTAGTCCGATACATATTTTAAGTATTTTTTAAACCTTTCAAATTTGGTCTAAAATAAGTGTTATTTTAAGACAAGAAGAATAATTAAAAAATTTAGTAACTCAGTTGGTTGACTACCTGAGTAGTATAAATTTTTAAAAAGTCTTTTCATGCTTGAAGAGTGATAAAGAATTAGTCAAATAAGTGTTATAATTTAATGCAAAATAATTTCTTAATGGGTGTGACACTTCTATGGATAGTATTATTATTTTATGGAGTGCAAAAACGTTATTGGTAATTTGTATCTCATTTAATATTTTTATAAATGATGTTTTTGATGCATGTATTTAATATATGAAATGTAGCGTTAGTACAATTAAAATTTTAGGTTTATTGTAAGAATGCAATTATGTCCTTTTAATTGTTTATAAATATACAAAAAAAAGTTGAAACGATTAAGCAAACTCTCATTATGGGTGGGGGGGGNNGGGAGGGTTAAGGAGATGACGTTAGACAGTCTTCCATTCCATTTTATTTGTCATTAGTATCTCATATTCTCTCATTCAGTGCATATGAAAATAATAATATTGGTCGTTATCTCAAGTTTGAACATAAAAAATAAAAAAGCGGGAGCACCAATAAATAATACTATATTCTTTTAACTTCTTGATTTTCGTATCATGTGTTCATTAGTCTAAATTGCGAGAAGATAACCAGCCATTTAAAGATTGCTATTTTATCTTCTTCCCCAACCTGTTTATTCTTTATTGTTGTTAGCAATTCCATCTTTTACTTAATTGTTTATATCTATCATACAGTTTATAGAAGAACATTAACGCCAATTTTACAAAATTCACCGTCATTATAAAGTTCATAAAACAAAAGATCTCAACGTTAATGAAAAGCAAATTGAAACAATGTGTCATATATTTATTAATAAACTTGTAGAATTTTTTTGATCACATTCTTTTAAATTATAAATTTGTATTTCTAATTTGTCATTATGGTGAAATTATTAACATTTTTTTTTACTCGTCAATTGTTGTTGGGAAGGTTTTTTTACCTTCTTAAATATCTTCATGGCAGACTATTTCTAGAACTCGAAATTCTTTTGCTCAAAAATCTCACCCTGCCTGCGATAGAAAGTACCGATAATTTCAGATGTTATGAAATTATATTTTTAAGAAATAAAAAATATCTTCCCCTTAAAAGAAAAAAATATCTCAATATTCTCTTTACATAAAGTAGAAACAACTAATAAGAAGTACAAGAACAATATTCCTTATTTAACGGAATATTAATCTTATAAAATTATTATCTAATATATCATATTATTTTAATAAATATTAGTTACTATTTTATTATTTAATGTAGTGTACATAAATATAATAAAATTTATACAAAATCAAAGGATACAAAAAATTATAGTAATCAAATAAATTATTTATTCCTTGTTTATTTTTTATTAAATTAGCAAGTACTTAGTACTATATATTTACTAATGTGATTTTTTATTAATTTGTCAATTGGCTCAATATTTTGATACTACTTCTCTTCTAGTAGAACATACGTATATATTTTTTTATTCCGGAAATATATATTTTTATACTTATGTTGTACTGTTTAAAATTCTTCAATTGTCTAAATTTATTAATAATTTTCTTGAGTATTTTTGTTTATTAATTAATTCAAAATATAAATATTATAAAATTATCTTTATCCACCTTTTTTCAGTACATTCATTTCTACTATAATATTTGATTAGTTTTCTCATTTTATATTTACTGAAATTTAAGTAATATAATTTTTTTTACTAAATTATAATTTTGAATTCATCAAAAGTATAAAGAGATAAGCTTTTTTATTATTTTTATAAAAAACATACTAATATTTTTAATAATTAATGAAATGTGTAATTTTAAAATTATTTATCGTAAAATAATTTTAAAACTCCAATTTTAATGAGTAGAATATATATATTTGTATTTTCGTTTTTTATTGATATTATAAGAAATCTATATTTATTAATTCAAGTAGTGTAACCAATTAATTCAAAATTAAAAATTCAAAAAACAAAATTAGTTAGAAAAGTAGTTTATTTTGTCTTAATAATGCCACTTAGCTTTTTGCGGTTAAGACACTTGTCTTAATGTAGCGCTTTTGCTTCTCCTATTCTATATAGATAGATAATTTAACGTACGTCTATTGATATACTGAAAGGTAATATAGTCTTTTAATTTTACAGGGTTATTTTAGTCTTTCAACCTTCTAATTTGGGCTTCATACTTATAATATAGTATATAATATAATATATAATGAATGTAGACTCTTTTTTTGTAGTGTACATAAATAACAAATTTGTAGGAATCTCTTTTATTTCTTTCCTTAGTTAGCACCTAATGTACATGTATTTATATTGCTCTCCTCTTGGAATGAGAACACAAGTTATTCTTTCCATTTCGTGCACAAAAGGATTGAAACCACATATATATAGTTGGAAAAACTTATCATTCATTGCAGTCGCAAACAGTTGGGCGGAGAAAGCATGTCACAAAGCGAACCAAATCTTAATCAAGATTAATATATATTGTTCCAGCTGAGAAAGTTTTCGAAGCACAAGTTCTCAATTCTGATTAACAGAATGATTTTCATCTCCATGTTTAGTAGTAATAGTTTGTTAAAATGCCAAAACAATATTAAGTTTACCTTTGTCCAAAAGTTTTCTGATAGATAATACAGAATGACGAACCACAACCTAATAAAAACGAAAGTAAAAGCATGTAAGTCTTGTATGTCTGAGCTGTACCCGTAAATCTGCATCTCACAAGGTCAGGATATCTTTTGTTTTCTCCCCCAATAAAAGTCTTACTAGTTAAGATTTCCCTCAACAATGCAACTTCATCACCTTGATAAAATTCTCAGGAATTATGAAGCCTGATGTCATAGTACCTCGAACTCCACTCTATCTCCAGTAGCCTGAACGGAATATCCACTATAAGAAATTTGATTCTCCATGTCACAGTTATGGAGTTTCACTATAGCTTTATGTTAATGTCGCAAAGTCAGTGTAATGATATACAATAAGTTGCTGCCGACCAAGTTGAAAAATAGTGTGATTCTTGGAAGAAACATACCATGTGTGGGTGTCTAAGTACTGACATGCTGCTCATGTTCCTAATGTGGTCTCTGGATAGCAGAAGTCTAACATGCGGGATGCCCCTCCAGCTCTCTCCAAGTGCTGGTTTAGAAGTACCTTTCTCACCCGCCACCATGTGATTGGTGACCTAGCACAGAAGGACAGATATTATATGAGGTCCACAATTAGGATATTTAGCAAAGGAACTGCCTATAGTGAAAGTAGAACTACAATACTCCATTACTTACGGAGAAAAGTTCGGGTGGACAAATAGGATCGTTACAAAACTGAAGTTCCTTTTAGTAGATCTAAGTCATTAATAGGTTCATATGGTAAGTATATAACAACTTGACGCGTGCCTAATACACTGATCAAGTCAAAAGGAAATCAAATCCATCAGTTAAAAAAGCACATTAGAAGACAAAAGATGAATAAGTTGCTCGGACTCAAGTGCGGGTATCCGATACGGGGACGGATCCGAGTATCGGATTCGGCAAAATCTAAATTTTAAGATTCGGGGGTGCGGATCCAGATATGGATACGGGTGCGGGGATTCGGCTAATACAAAATAGAGCTATAAAAATATTGTAAAATTTGAGAGATATTATGTGAAAAACTTACATGAATATTGTGGAATTTAATCTTTCATTCTCCAAGATGGACATTATTCTTACATTCTCCTAAATCTGTTTTATTTTTGATTTAGAGAAATCAAAATCTCAATTTTTCTCCCAAATTTGTCGATAGACTCCGGTCAAAGTGTCCGAACTCAGCTGACCGAATCCAGGACGTATCCCGCTCCCGCTCTCGTCCCTGTCTCGTATCGGGACGGGGACGGCACCAAAATCGAAGAGTCCGCTCAACTTAGAAGATGATACCCCATAGAGAATGAACAATGCTGCAGCAAAGAGAACATGGTAATGTTATGTTACCGCCAAACTTACCAAAATGCAGATATCATGTTCATGTGCTAATCGTTTCAGTAAAACTCCCACTGAAACCATTAAAGCGTGTCCTGTTTCACGCAAAAAGAACAAGCCCTTTAGTTGTTACTTCGAGAATTAGTAGTCAAGCAGGTAGTTTTGACATATGGAATTAAACTTAAGTTTTCTACTTCAACAAACAGTTCACACATATGAAACAAATTACACAGTGAACATGGCAAAGCTTCTACACATTTCTCCACTAATTTTATTCCCTCATTCAACAAAAGTAAATTGACAATTGTGGACATGATACCGCAGGGAAAAACCTAATCATCTGCCTATAGACGGAAGAAGAAACTCAGGATAAAATTAAATTTATTTGGAAGAAACGAAATCCAGAAAAGCAAGATTAATATCGGTGTAGGAAGTTAAGTTTGCATTTACCCCTTTATTCCCATTTAACATCTTTTTCATAAGCAATCGTCCACCAGATACCTAAAAACAAGTTTGCAGTAGGGTAGTAGACAGCAGAAACAACAAATCGATGAAAACATTGTAGGGGAACTCACAAGTGATGCATTATGTCTGAGAGCATATATCAACAACTAAGTTTCAATCCCAAACTAGTTGGAATATAAATACAAGAGGATAAAAACAACTAAATCTAGACCAATTAGAATTTGTAGTTGCGTCAACCAATAAACTACATTAAAGAAAACAAAACAAATATTTCTTAAAATAAAGAAACTACAACTTAAATCTTAAATTGCTTAAGAAAGTAATTACTAATAAATAAGGATAATTAAAAATTACTACCATAAAGTTATTATCATTTCATCTTTTACTGAAAAATTACCTTGTGCACCACCTCCTCCAAGAATTGGTGTAATGAGTGATGATATTGAGTCGATGATAATCATACTTATATGCTGATCTACCTGCATATCATACCCTCGGAAGTGAGTGCCCTGAGAACTCATACCCAATCCATGGTAATAGGGAAAAGGAGATGAGATGAGAGTAGAGAAATTTTAGCATTGTATTTCCAAAAACCTGAGATATGAGATTGTTCTTTAGCTGATGAAGCACTTCAAACAGTGTAAAAATGTCAAACACTGACAAGCATACTATGTTGTTCATTACTTGTTGAAGGGCCCTGTCCACCTACAGAAAGAGTTAAATGTCAGAGAGAGAAGACGGTATTGAAAAGTTGGTTCCAGCAACTTGCACGATAAATCTCCAGAGCCATATTATTCATGCTGGACAAAGTTTAATGTGTACAGTACATCTCCAGTTAGTAGATATTCAATGTTGCATATGTAACTGAATTTGAGACAAGAGGAAGCCTAATCTATGTGACCTACTAAGAGAAATGAAAGTCCTATTGGAGTATGAATCTGTACAAGTCAGCCCTTGTTGGTTCAAATGTCAGTAATAGAAAGGAAAAAGTAAAATAATCAACTTCTAACTTCAACTTCTTTTGTAAATTAGCAGTGCAAAGAAACATCTTACAGCATAGTTCTCCTATTTAAATTCATTCAGCACGAATTATGGAACTGTCATAAACTATAATCAGATGGTTCTGTGCAGCTTATAATGTATCAACCAGTGGCGGATGCACGGGTTCAACTGAACCCGCTTCATCAAAAAATAATACTGTGTATATGTATAAATTACGATTAAAGCTGCATAAATTTTGTATAAATATTTTATTTGAACCCACTTGACAACTACTATTTTGAGACTAAAGTTATGTACTTCTAAGATTGAACCCGCTTGCACAAAATCCTGGGTCCGCCACTGGTATCAACTACGTGATACCATGATTTGATGACAGAGCTAGAGCTATTATAGTGATGAAGGAAATCAACTAGAAAGAATTACAAAGAGAACAAGGAATTGACTTTCCAACAATTCTGCAAGTACCCTTTTTCTGTTCACCACCACAAATGTAAGATAGAGAATGTGGAGTCATACACAATAACATCTAGTAATCTAATCAGAAATTTCAGCACTACCCCTAACTTTTACTGGATACTTTTTGGTGTGCCAATCAACACAGATTTCTGAAACTACAACCAAGATGTATCCTACCTAGGTAACAACAAATAACAAAATTCGGCGAGGAAGGAAATCACAGATGAAAACATCTATTCATTGTTTCTTTGGTAAGTTTAGACAATGAGAACATAATACGAAGAAATAAGGTTAATCCAAAAGGCTAGAAACATGTTTGACCTCATAAGCAGAAGGATCTGATGTCTGAGTGACAAATTGAGCAACACGTTTTGAAGAGAAAGAATTTCCAGAGTCCAAGAAAATGATTTTGCCCCAGCTTTTTGCAACACTTGAAGCAGCTCGTAAGCAAATCTGGACCCAAATATAATCTTGAATAAGTAACAGCACTAAGAGCCCAAAGAGGCTTCAAAAATGAAACAAGCTTCAAAATTCAATACTCAGAAATTTATCTAACTTCAAAGAAACAAAAATCAGAAATCAGCAAAATCTCCACAGATAAGTCAAAAAGAATTTGCATTATCAATACACTCTTACTTGTGTTTTACCAGAGGATGACGGGCCAACTAGCTCAGTCAGATGTCCCTTCTTTAATCCACCATGAAGAAACACATCTATTCTGGCCAAGAGTAGTCCTATTCATCAGTTATCTACTGTCAAAGAAGCTATAAAAGTATCGGTGTTCAAGCATTATTACCTTCTACATCCAGTAGGTAAGGAGCTTTTATTCTGTAAAGCATAATCCAACAACTCCTGACCATTTACCCATGGTTGATGCTGACCATTAATGATAGTCAGAACTTGAGTGATGCCCTATTTTACACGTAAAATGGACATACAGATCATTAAAGGAATACCAAAAGACAGAGATATGAAATGAAAACTACATATGTGGCAGATCAGACCTCCTTCAATCTCTCCGAATTATGATGCTGTTCAGTTGAAATCACTAACACGTAAAGATCATGTAGAAGAAAATCTTCAACTGCAAAAATAGAAGAACAAAAATAATATGACTGAAAGACATAAACTTCATATTTATCCATTATCCTATGTTTCAAATTAACTTTCTTACTTTCTATTTTAAAGCGTCCCAGAATTGTGTCCACGCTTTCAAGAGTACTTTTTCTCTACACTTCTCAATACTTCTTCATTGTTAAAATATATATAAGGTGATTTGGAACCCACTTTATTCTTCAAATTCTTCAAAAGGTCAACTTTTATCTCCACTTCTGGATCCATAATAAAACTTCAACTTTTAGCTTAATAGTCGTATGCAAACCAAATGGGACACTAAAAATGGAAAGGATGGCGTACAATTCAATTGTTAACACTATAATTATTTCACAAGGATCCAAAAGATTCAGTAAACTGTCCATTCTGGGCATCAAATTCTTTCAATCATCTCTCCGAATTCTATAATAAAACTTATACAGGTAAAATGGAAATGCGGGGTGGTGTCAAATATGAGATCCAACCTTAACAATCGTATATGGATGGGAAACCAACCCCCCC